AGCGATGACATGTATATTGGACTTTGATAGCAATTAAGACGCCACGTCCTCGAATGTCGGGACCATGAATTTCGTACCGATCACATCGGAAAACGGAGTAATGAGGACGAAGTCCAAGTTCAGAGTCATTAACAGAACGAGATAACCAGGTTTCAGTTAATACAATTAAATCATAATATTAAGCTTTGCTTTGCTTTGCTTTGGGGGGATGGCTAAGCCGTGAAACTATACCAGGCTTTTGCCTCTACTAGTGGATGGATGTTTAGGAAGGTGGTTTTAAATTTGTTGGTCAACCCATGTCAAAGGGTAGGGTTTGATTCTACGATGAATATGATCACCAGATTATACACCATAGAAATCCCATATAAAGTAAATGCACTTAATAATTTACTTAATATTTAATTTTGTAAATCAATTACAATTTTCTACAAAAATTTATTTATACAAAGTTTCAAAATATTGAAATTAAAGTCACAATTGTATTTATAGATGTGTTTGAAATTAAAACTTGATGAAAATGGATATTTAATCAAAAATAATTAACTTTACCCTACCGATTTTAATTTGTTTTTGTAAATTGTTAATATAGAGACTTAAAATTGTTATTTATAACTCATATTGTAATTTATATACTTAAACAAAAATTTTTTTTCAATATTAAGATTTTTGATTTATATCAAGTTATTTTCATGTTTCTCAAATATACCTCAAATCCATAAGTATTATTTTAAGGTATGTCATTATACATCATATTATATTCTACAGAATAATTCAGTTTTATAACTTTGTTTATTGTTTATACTATTACTCACTGAGGGATTTACAAAATTCTTCCGGAGTCTTTGGACTAACAACTGTAAAAAATTAGAAAATAACTATATTATTTTGTGGATTACATTTTTCAAGTCATATTAATTAATATTATAAAACAAATATACAATTTTACAAACACATCTATACATATATAATGAAAATACTGGGGTGAATACAATTAATTATTTATATAAATAATTATAAAAACAATAACGTTATAAGAAATGTTATTATTCATACCATTTTTCGGAGGTACTAGGAGACTACTGCTGAAGGCTAAAATATCTAGAAAGTAAAATATTTGAATATTATTTTTATTTTCATTTAAATTTGAAACATGTTCAAAAATAAACATTGTTTTTGTTTTATTATGTTTGTGTTTGCATTATTTTTTTTTTATTTATATAAATTTAAATCTATGAGATTACTAGGCCTAACTGAGGCATACTCGTGCGGAGGCCCAAATTAATTTGCTTAATAAATGCTCATTATTTCTTAGCAGCACAAAATATGATTTATTTGATACTACTCAATAATAGGAATAAAGATATAATGTATTTATTAGGATTTATCGACATTATGGGCGAAAAAGAGAAAAGGCGTAGGTACATCGTAAACCATAAAACGTTGTTCAAGATAATAAATGTATAAACTTACCAAAATCTGGCTGTTCCGTATTTTTAAAACCATAATATATAAATTGGTCTATTTTCTCACTGATTTCTTGAACAGTTTCTGTAACGCAAATTATCGCATAATGTATAAAATAGAAATATTTTTTAAAACGTATTATTCAATACACAATTAGCTTACATTATGGTATAAATTAGCACTCCCCATACCAAAATCCAGAAGTTAGTAGGTTTGGTATCGTGAGTTATTCTCGCTAAAGATATCCACCATAGCACCAGTATACATTGTAGCGGAATACAAATCAGGCCAATTCACAGCTTAAACACATCATACGCAATATTTCGAGAACATTAAAATTAACTTCCTTTCAACTGATCCCGATTACTTAACAACATCGCTCCACCAACTCTTCCTCGCAAACATTCACTCATACAATTTAGAAAGAAATGTAATTCTGATCCATTACTGCCTATTAACTCATAAGAATCACCCCATCAGGATATCAAATGCTCAAATCAATAAAACCACCACAGAGCTTGACATTTCTAACTTTATCATCCTAATTAATGCTTGGCTAGATGTCTAGATGATTGAATAGCATCACAGCTGGAACCATGAAAAAACTATAAAATTGGCAATTATTAAATTTCAAAGTTCAACTTATCACTTAAGGATTGAGCCAGCATTAATTAAATCAATACTAGACACTGAAAATGTAGATATCTTTTTCACAAATACTCTAGGGTATTATTTCGACTATCTATCACATCATTCACGTTTGTTCAAATTGAAAAAAATGTATACTCCAATTAAAGGACTTTGTAAACGCAACTCCAAACACATTTGGATATGCAATCTAGTTATAAATGTATGATTATTGTGCTATCAGCACATAAATATCTTATCTTTAACCTTTTACCCTCAAATACCAGTTGATATTATGTTAAATATTATTATCACTCCAAATTACTTACTCATTAACATAGCTCTACAGTAGTTTACAAATCCACTTTTAACTAAACAAATAATATATAGTTATTCTTAAGTTGAACCCTGATTTATCTAAATCTTAAATATAATACTAATTTTTAAATTAGATCCGAGCTTTATAAAATAATATGACCTACTTTAAGAATATAATACAAACAAAATAATTTTAACAAAAGTTATGCAATTTTAAATTGACTCCAAGTAATTTTAACAAATATCTGAACCAAAATGTATTAGCTTATAAAATTATAACTACTTAATACTTACACGAATACCCAGCTTTAATTAATGCATCTATTAATTATATGTATATATAATTATATATGTATAGGTACTAACATTATAAATATAATATTGTAAAACATAACATTTATTGAAAAAAATATTTATGAAAGTTTTAACCAAATAGACAATAATCTTAAAATAATTTATGATAATATATTGTGGTTTAATAGTATCTTAAACTTATGAGATTAATATAATATAAATTATAATAGGTACCTTGAAAATTGCAAGCCTCAATAGCTATCATTATTTAGGCTCTATGACGTTGATCAGTCAAACCTAACCTAACCTAACCACAGTCCTGTAAAGTATTTAAGTAAAAGTATTTGAGTAAAAGTATTCAAATACTTTTTTTAGTATTGAATAACTTTTTAAATACTTTCAGCATGAAGTATTTTGAATAGTATTTTAAATACTTATTTTTGTATTAAATACTTTTGGTATTGAATACTTTGGTTTTTTTATTTCGAACATTTTATTTTTATTCTAAATAATTGGTTGGAAAAATATTATTGTCAACTACAATAATAGAATAATAGTTTTATTTAATATTTTGTATTTCTGTGTTAGCCGTAGCCCGATGGTTTGTGAAAACCAGATTTCTAAAAATAGTTATTGAATAACAGTATTCCCTTTAAACTATAACTATTAAATAACCTACTACTGTTTGTATTACGATAATTAGAAACCCACTTTAAAAACCATAAGTATTTGAAAAGTATTCCAAATACTTTTTCTAAGTATTTGAGTAGTATTTGAAATACAATACAATTAAAGTATTTGAGTATAGTATCTTAAATACTAAAAAAAAATGTATTTGAGTATTTACTCAAGTACTTTTTAAAAGTATTCTTTACAGGACTGCCTAACCATCATCCTACCCAGCGTTGCCCGTGAGACATGCTTGTGATCATGTGATCACTGATCAGTATATTTTCAGATAGGCAATTCACCTGGGGTACCAGGTACCAGGGATAGATAACATAAATAAGATATAATGGACTGGAAACGAGCAGCTTATCAGTGGTCTCGAAAGTATGTACAAGAGGCAAATGATTGGGGGTTCGCAATAATAAATGAGAGTTTACAGCGCCATCTGTATAAAACACGGACTGAGATACAAAATGTGACACTAAAATTATTAAAAAAATTATTAAATTTTTATTTAATGAAACCACTGAAAACATTCAATTATGACTGTTGATGATAAGTGATAACAGAGGAACCTTTTGCGGGCCGTCTCCCGTAACCCGCCCACCATGTCGTTTCCAGTCAGTGGTTGGACTAGGGGGGTGGCGCCGGGGATTGATCCCCGGGTGTAAAATTTTAGTGGGCGTTATTTTTCTTTGATTCTTTATTTAATGCTTGGTGTTAGAAGTTAAGAAAACATTTTTACTTCACATAATTTGTTTATGATATTTATGGCCACGTTCGAAGGAATGAAAAACAAAAAATAAAGTTAAAGATAAGATTATGAATAGATTCGTATTGGTATACTAACAGTATACTAGTATACTGGCATTAGCATACCTACTGCAGGTATATACAACTAATATACTATAATTATTAAGATTCTGCAGAGTGAAAGTGTGTTACTATATACTATATAGTAACTACATAGGTATTTATTGATGCTGTGTTTTCGTTAAAATTTCTGATATAGGTACCTACAGAATAACTGTTGCCTATAAGATTATCAATCAACGTACGATTACGACATTACGTTTATTAAAAATGATGTTAATAGTTTAACACAGCGGTTCCCAAACTGTGCACCGCGGTGCCCTAGGGCACCGCGAGCACTTTCTGGGGGCACCGCGGTCTACGTTTCATAAGTTTAAAATGTATATAAAAACCATATGCCCAATTACTGGGTTTGGTATTTATCAGTATAATATTATTACTAGATATGATTTTATGGGTAATAAATTATTACAGATATTATTTTCATACTTGGCTGATATTTTTAGCAAAATGAACGAGCTCAGCCTTTCCTTACAAGGAAGGACTATGACAATTTTTGATGCCAGCCACAAAGTAAGTGCATTCAAAAGGAAAATTGATTATTGGGCACAGTGTACTACTAAAGGCAAATTTGAATGTTTTCCAATAATGCAAGCCTTTTTGGAAGAAAATGATGAGCAGGCTTCTACTAATATTGTCAACGAGATTATTAGCACCTCAAACAGCTAAAAAATTCTTTTGAGCAATATTTTCCTGCAGATCGGGAAGTATTGTTGAAAGACCATGAATGGGTACTGAATCCATTCTCAGTTTGTATGAAACCTTCAAGCTTATCTTCAAGTGATTACGAAAGGTTGATCGATTTAACTTCTGACTTAACATTAAAATCTTCCTTCAACAGCAATTCGTGTGCCGAATTTTGGTTAAGTTTGAAAGACAAAAATTATGAAGGTTTAAGCGAGAAAGCGAAAACACTATTTTTACCCTTTGCCACTACTTACTTATGCGAGTCAGGATTTTCGTCATACGCTGCAACTAAAACCAAATACCGCAACCGCCTCAATGTTGAACCTGACCTCCGACTCCAATTATCAAAAATAAAACCTGACATTGCAAAACTGTGCCAAAATAAGCAGCCACATACATCACATTAATTAAAATTAAATTGTAAATATTTTTCATTTGTAATATTTTTATGTAATAATTATAATCAAAATAACAATAATTTTTATTTATTTATCTTTTTAAAAATGCATTAATTTATAATTAATTTAGTTGTGTAGCTTAGAATGCTTAGATTGTATTAGGTTTAATAAAATTAATAAAATTGGTTCTCAATGAGTACTTTTTTTGTTCTATCTTTCATGTTATATACAGCAGGGCACCGTGGCTAACTTGGTGCCTCTAAAAGGGCACCGCGGAAAAAAAAGTTTGGGAACCGCTGGTTTAACATAAACATGTTAATAGTTTGATGGTTATACATTTGTTCATGTTTAAAAAAAATATTTGATTTTAAATATTTTCTTTTTCATTTTTCTTTTATAAATTGTTTAATTCAATACAATTTTTTACTGGTATAAATTGTGTACCTTAATCAGAATAAAAGATTTTATATTTCACCATAAAAATCTATTTTAATTGAGGGTTGAGGCGCATAGAACTAAAACAGTAAAAGGGTTTTTAATTTTGATACAGGACAAGTAGGTAATTAAAGTTTTGATTATTTTTCAACATTTTATTTCTTATAAAATCCACTCTAAAGAAAATAATAAGCTCATTTTGTATGTATAAATTGTGGCCTTTTAAGCCATCTATAAAGCCAATAAATCAACCATTAACCCAATTAATGTTGGTTAAGTTTTAATGTGGGTTAGGCCACTCAAATTTAAAAAAATATTTAGGTATATGCTATTGCAGGCAGGTTAGTCCAACTCATTGAAAATTTGTTAATCACTTATATCTGAATCTTTTTTTAAATAGTATATTAGTATAAACTTGGTTACACATTCCACAGAATATATTAATTCTTATATAATAATATAATATTATGTGTTTAAAAGTCCACAAGTATGTTTGTAATTTTAGTTCCAGTTATTATAAAACAATTGTAGGGAATGATATTATATTTTCAATCTTGGTCTATGATTGGTCGTAATTTTAATATTTTCCCCGTTCGAAAAAATTCTAAGTTCCACCTCTGTTTCCAGTCCATTATATCTTAGCCCATGGTAGATACTTAAATAAGAATGTTTTATTAACTCGTTGTTTATGATGTGCATGTGTAGGTTTGGAGGTTCCCGAGACAACGGTGGAAAGTTAGCGTTAGTAATACACAAATACCATTTTTACTAAGTTATATGGTTTTTACTAAGTATATTATACAGATCTAAAGTGATATTCGATCATAATCTTAATAATTATCAGGTAAATAAATAATTGTTTCATTGTATCTATGACATCACAATCTTTTTGCCGATCGCGTTTAGCGCGCGGCCAACATTAGATTTTCTTATGGGCATTTTGTTTTTAATTTTTGAGAGAAATAATAACGTAAATAATGCTGTTGTTATAGGGATAGTTAACATTAATATTAAATAGGTATAAATAATATTGATAAACAATATTTTAAATGTGCAAGAAGGTTTAGTAGTCATTAAGTTTTGCGAAATTACCCATAGCAACTTTACAATAAACAAAAATATATTATGTTATTAAACAGATACTGTTTTATCCTAACTCTGGGTTAAAACTAACGGTTTTCCTAAAATGTTCTTTCGTAAAAACCTTGTCCTGACAATTACAAATACTACAAAAGAAAAATCAGCCAAATCGGTCTCGTAGTTTCTGAGTTTCAAAGTATATAAGTATAAAAGTAGTTTCACTTTTATATAGTTAAAGGAAGATAAATACATTTTAAAATTTATTATTTACTAATATGACATCTCTTACCACAGCACACTATAAAAAAAATAAATTAATACAATGAGTATTATAATGACATTGAATGTCAATGACTGGGAATAACGTAAGTACATATTTTATAACTAATTCAGTACCAATATGTTACGTATATTGTTATATGGATGACTACTAATTATTTAATTTAAAAAAAACTGTGTCTCATATTATCAGTGTTCAAATTAGGAAAAATTAAGTAGAGGATCTCAAACCAACGATTTAAAAACTGTGTTCCAAGGGCGTAATTATTCAACACAGGCCCGTGGGGGCTTTCCCCCCTCACGTTCCTACCAAACATAAATTTTGAATAAAACTTTTCAGCAACACATTTTGAATTCCAAATAGGTATACAGTGGAACCTCGATTATCCGGGGTAATGATGGTTAGGAATTCACACGGATAAATGAAAATCACGGTTAATCGAGACTTTTTATAATAATGACATTTATTATTAGAAATACATAGGTACAATTTTATAATAATGAAATTTTGAAAATTTTAATCCCCCTGCGCACCCCCCCCCCCCCCCCCAATCGAGCCCTGTAATATTATTATGAAATCAGCATATTAATTTGCATTTGTATATTAAATTCTAAATTTGCTAATCAATAAAATTATAAACGTTATAAGAACATATTTTTAATTTCTTATTTATAACTTTTTGTGTGCCATCAACTTTTTGAGGCAGTCAAAATGGTTTGATTTCTTCTTCTTAAATGTAATCACTGCAAAGGTAACGCACTATGGAGAAATCTATGCAACTATTTTTTTTTTTTTTTAATTATCCCGCGGCAACATAGGTGGCCATTGGAAGGTTGTGGTACTGTAGGTTTTGGAACGGTAGGTGTGTTACACGTCTAACCAACTATTGAACTATCAGACTATTCTACGAAAACAATTATTTCATGAAATAAAAATTTGTAATCATGTGATTCCGTTTTAATGTCTTATATTGTTTTTGTAATTAATACCTAATGTCGAATTAATAACAATAGGCACTATTTATTTATTTTTTTAATCCATTACCTATAAAGAATTTAAAACATTGAATATTGGTAAAAAATATCAATAAATAAGACAATAATACTGTTAAATATTCAATTTGTATAATATAAATTAATTAATAATATCACTATAACAAGATGTGGAAAAATAAAATAACCCATTTCATTTTCATGAAGAGAACTAAAATGTTTTTATTTCTTGTAAGTTATGACAGTATGCATGTTCATTGAAATCAATGTACCTATCAATTTGGTTGTCTTGGAACAGTAGGTATTGGAAAATAATTGAGTTCTTTCAATATTTGAAATATTTTTTTATAATATAGTAATGAAAAAAAATAATATTGCATTAATTTTATCTATGTATAATCTGTAAACTTACTGTTAAAATCTAAAAAAAAAATGTGTTCAATTTAATTAAATATACCTACATAGTTAGTAATATTAAATGACCATAAACATTGTAGGTATTAGGTTTAAGGATTGATTAATGATTTTTTTTTCAAAAGGTTATCTTTCATAATTAAAGATTGCATATGATTTTTAAATACCTGCTATAAATTAAAAATTAATGTATAATATTTTTTTTTTTAATTATTTCATTTTAAATATTTTTGTATCTTGTTAAATATTTAGCAAAATCAAAAGGACAATAATATTTTGAATATTAAAATATACGTTCTAAATATAGTCTATCACTTTTTTAATATAATATTAGTCGTAATATGATTCTTACTTAATATAAATTTAGTTATTTTAATTTAAATAAGAAATTATTGTTAATTGTTACCCACCTTTAACATCTTTATCCTTGTTCGTTTGTATTGAGTTTGCAACTAATATCAATAGGTACCACCAATAAAATTATTAAAACGCTATATGACATCATAGTTATTATTCAGTTTATTATACAGGAGAAGAATATAATTATTTTCCGAATAAGTACGATGATAGACTTTGGTGTTTATATTATATTAACATTATCTTTTACCATTAGATCTATAAAATGGCTTAAGGTTTAAAAATATTATAAATAAATTGACTTATTAATTTATTATATTTTTATTTATATAACTTGATTTTAAATGATTCTGTTCATGTTAAGTGTTTAACAATATCAAAATAGATGTTTATGGAAAGTAATATTTTGAATATAAAAATATAGACTATCAATTTTGATATAATATTACTATAATATTAGTCGTATATGTTTCTAACTTATTATCAATTTCAAATCTTAAATTGAATGTAAAATGATTGATAATATTATAACCTACCTTCAGTACCATCACACATATTTTGGCTTGTACCTATAATAAACATCACCGTTTAAATTATTAAAACTTTATAAGAAATTATAGTATTTGTTCAGATTATTACACAGAAGACAGAACAAGAATACATTTTGAGTTACAAGATAACAATATAATTATTTTCTGAATAAGTACTATGAACTTTGGTGTTTATATAATTATATATTTATATTACCTATATTTTATAATCAGAGTATAAGATTGCTTAAGATATTAAAATCTTCTAAATAAATTGATTAATTAATCTACTTATACAATATTTTTATATAACTAAATTCTAAATATTTCTGTTCAATGTAATATTGTAAACAAAATAAAAATGGGTGGCATAAAATAGGTTAGGCAAGTGCACCTAACTATCTATACTCAGTTCCATTTAAGAGTGAATTTCGGCTGACCAAAACACGTTATATTGACTAAAAGGGTGATGCTGCAGTGTTGTTAAGGAACGCGTTCCTAAATTAACGATTCCTGGAATTGATTCCTTTGTACAGGAACGAATGAAGGAATAAATTCCATAATTTTCTAAAGAAATAGGAATGTGAATCAATTCCTTATTTTTATTCATAGTAACGTAAATATTATTATTCTTTTGTTCTTCTCGGAAAAGTTAAAAAAAAAACATTTGGGAAGAAAAATGTTGTTTACTTATCATGTTTTTAATCAATAAAAGAATAATAGACGAGATTACGAATTTTTATCCACATGTTGCCTTATTGTTATATTAGGTATCCCACTTTCCCACCTCTTTTTAAATTTTTTAACTTAACATTTTAAATAAAGTTGCAATTTTGCAATTTGCTTTGGTGGGACGGCCTTTGGCCTGTTTAAGAGCACCAGGCTAAGCCTTTTCTCTCTGAATGAGGTAATTTAATTGATAGGTTTTGGTCTGTTCATGGGACTAGACATGATAAGTGTGGATATTTGCTCCTTGAAAGTGTATGAGCAAGGTTTTTTGATAGGTGGAGTGCTTCGTCTTGGAGGGTTTCGATGGACATTGAGTTCCGTAAGTTTAGATTTGAGACCAGGTAGTGGGCGCCGGTCATGGTACGTAGTGCTACGGACTGGAAGATCTCAATCTGTTTCCAAGATGATTGGCGAATTCTGTTTCTCCAAACGGGAGCTGCATATAAAGTTGAGTTAAGTGGACGGTATTTGTTGATATCATTTTGGAACTTACTTGAAAAAAAAGTTATTATTCCTCAATATCTATTATGTTGTTATAATAACTTACCATTGCCAGTTAAAAACCTTAAATATTCTTCTATAATCAAATAACTATTATTTAATAATTAATTAATGATAGTTAATATAGTATGTTAATATAAAATTATATAGTAGATGTACAAAATGTTATTTTTATACTATAGTGTATCTGTTTATGTTGATATTACCTAATTTTAATGAATATTTGAACACATTTCAATAAAATCAACATTTTTTAATTTATAGTTATAGGGATTAATATTAGTATCAAAACAATATGACAAGTAAAAGTTTTTCTAATACATTTATTAATTATTTATTAATAACACAGTCTGCTGTTCTTAACTAAGAATAACGATTTTAGTTATTTTGTTGTAATTTAAAATTGTTATTCGTAGATCCACCTTCTCTCATAATCACTATACCTAATATCACGGGCCCCCTATTTGGTTTGGGTAACACCGGGCTAGATGGCTAAAATATAAAATAATTATTTTTATTTAAATAACTTAATTCTAAATGTTTCTGTTCTTGTTAAATGTTTAGCAAAATCAAAAAAGTCGGTTAAAAAAAATAATATTTTAAATATACAAAATACAAATCTTTAAAATATTCACTTTATTAAATACCTACGTCACTTTTTTAATGTAATATTAGTCTTAATAATATGGTTTTACATAAAATAAATGTCATATCATAGTTTTAATTTTAAATTACTTTTAATTGTTACCTTCAGTGAATGGTATATTATGATCGTCTATAATAAAAATAATTTAACATTATCAGAAATCATAGTAATTGTTCAGATTACTACACAAAAGAAGCATACATTTTACATTACAAGAAAATAATATTATTTTTTTCTGAATAGGTACTATGATAAACTTTGGTGTTTATATAATTATATATTTATATTACCTATATTTTATAATTAGAGAATAAGATTGCTCAAGATATTAAAATCTTATAAATAAATTGATTAATTAATCTACTTATACAATTTTTTTATAAAACTAAATTCTAAATATTTCTGTCCAATGTAATATTGTAAACAAAATAGAAATATGTGGCATAAAAAAGGTTAGGCAAATGTGTACCGCTCTATTTTACAGTAGGTTCCTACCTACTTATCTATACTCTGTTCCATCTAAGAGTGAATTTCGGCTGACCAAAACACGTTATATGGACTAAAAGAGTAATGCTGCAGTGTTGTTAAGGAACGCGTTCCTAAATGAACGATTCCTGGAATTGATTCCTTTGTAGAGGAACGAATGAAGGAATCAATTCCTTATTTTTATTCATAGTAATGTAAATATTATTATTCTTTTGTTCTTCTCGGAAAAGTTAAAAAAAAACATTTGGGGAGAAAAATGTTGTTTACTTATCATGTTTTTAATCAATAAAAGAATAATAGACGAGACTACGAATTTTTATCCACATGTTGCCTTATTGTTATATTAGGTATCCCACTTTCCCACCTCTTTTTAAATTTTTTAACTTAACATTTTAAATAAAGTTGAGTTAAGTTGACGGTATTTGTTGATATCATTTTGGAATTTAATTGAAAAAAAAGTTATTATTCCTCAATATCTATTATGTTGTTACAATAACTTACTCTTGGCTCTTAAACCCCTTACACGAGCATCTATAATCAAATAACTATTATTTAATAATTAATTAATGGTAGTTAATATAGTATGTTAATATAGAATTATATAGTAGTTGTACAAAATGTTATTTGGATACTATGGAGTATGGTTTATCTGTTTATGTTGATATTACCTAATTTTAATGAATATTTGAACACATTTGAATAAAACCAACATTTTTTAATTTATCTCTCTCTCTCTCTTGGTATTCAACAATTAAGGTTGGTTTTGCAGTTGGACATGCGCTCTCCACTCTTCCCTGTTATCAGCTAACCTCTTCAGTTCGGCGTAGCTTGATAGTCTAGCATCGGAAATCATTTGTTTTACAAATGAAGTTCTTGGACGTCCTTGGCCCCTTTTGCCTTCCATTTTCCCTTCTATTGTTCTGTAGATTAGCTCATTTTCGTGCCTCAATATGTGACCAATCATGTTCCATCGTCTTGCTCTGATAGTTTTGAGAATCTTTCTGCCTTCATCTATTTCACTGAGTATGCTTTCGTTGGTACGGTGTTCAATCCAACTCACTCTCAGCATCCTTCTCCAACACCAAATTTCAAAGCTTTTGAGTGTTCGTTGTTCTGCCTTATTCAGAAACCATGTTTCGCAGCCATATAGTGCCACACTCCATACATGCACTTTAATGAAGCGTTTCCTCACTCTAATATTCATGCTATTGGAGCATAACAAATTTTTCTTATTCATAAATGCTGACTTCGCCTGTGCGATTCTGGATCTTATTTCCATGGCACATCTTCCATCTTGGTTGCCTAGGTATTTAAAATGTTCCACTTGTTCGAGCAGCTGATTCCCTATTTGGATATTAGTTCTACGGATTCTGTCTGATTTTTGGCACATCATAACTTTAGTTTTTTGCCAGTTGATAATCAGCTGATATTTTTGGAAATTGGAAGCACCTCGCCATTTCTTCCAGTGCTCTTTCCAATTCATGCTCATTGTTGGCTAGGAGTGCAATATCGTCAGCGAATCTTAAGAAGGATATTATTTCTCCGCCCACTTTTATGCCTATTTTGTTTCTGAGAAGTGTTTCTCTAATTTCTTTAATAGGCTGTTCGACGTAAATATTAAATAGAGTTGGCGAGAGTGGACATCGTTGTCTTACACCCTCCCTAATTATCGCCGTCTCTGTTTTGTCTGTAACTTTTATTATAGCTGATTGGTCTTTGTATAAATTATATATTATCCTTCTATCTTTGTAGTCAGCCCCTTCTAAAGTATAGAATAGACCTTTCCATGGTACCTTATCAAAATCTTTTTACAAATCTATAAACGCGTCTTTATTAAACTCTATTTGTTTTTCTATCAATATTCTTAAGCTTAAGATTGCCTCTCTAGACCTTTGTTCCTTCTGAACCCGAATTGTTCGTCACTTATCTCTTTTAATTTATAGTTAAGGATTAATATTAGTATTAAAACAATATATTATTATTTAGGTATAATGTTAAAACATGTTGTTTATATAATATTTACATTGTATTAAATTAATAAGTGTACTAAGACTGCTTAAGATTTTAAAATATTATAAATAAATTGACTCATTAATATATTATATTTTAGTTTAAATTAATTAATTCTAAATATTCTGTATCTTTTTAAATATTTAATAAAACAGTGGATAAAGGACAATAATATTTTGAATATAAAAATCAACCTTTAAAATATAGATCATCACTTTTTTAACATAATGTTAGGTAGTCGTATGTTTTTTACTTAATATACATTTCATATTTTAATATAAATATGTATATAATTATTGTTAATAGTTTATACCAGCTCTATCCTTCTGAGGCGTTATTCTTTTTGGACCTATAATAAATCATCGTTAAAATTATTAATATTTTACAAGAAATCATAGTTATTCAGACCCGGCTCAAGAGGTAGGCGAGGTCCACGCCTAGGGCGGCACTTAAGCTTCACTTTATTAAGAAGGCGGCATTTTCAAAACACTGATAATATTATATTGTTACTAGAGGGCAAAATATGATTTTGCCTAGTTCACTGTTTCCGCTTGAGCCGGTCCTGTAGTTATTGTTCAGATTATTACACATAGACTGAACAAGCCTATATTTTGCATTGTAAGAGAAAAATATGATTATTTTCTGAATAGGTGCGATGATTAACATTGGTCTTAATATATCTACATTATCTTTTATCATTATTGTTAGGGGTGAATTTACCCATAGGCCACCAAGGCACGTGACTAGGGCGCAATAGTTTTTAGGGCACAATTTTTTAGTTAATTTTTACTTTTTACTTTTTTATAATTTCATTATTATATTTACCTAAATTTATATTTTATATTAATTTTTTTTTTGTATAGAACTTGCACGAAACTGGAGAATGGCTCACGCACAAATATTCACTAGCGAAATTGTTCTGGAGGTAAATTTTCTCGGCGAGGTTAAATATCCCCAGTGAATATTTACCGGGGGTAAATAATCACTGGTAAAATTTCACTAGTAATTATTTACCACAAGTAAAGTTTCGCTAGGGATATTTTACCCAGATAAAATATATCTAAGGAAATTTTACCTTGGTGCAGGGGTAAAATATCACTGAGATAAATTTTCTAGGTTACACCGGCACCCGGCACCACAATAAGTGAGTGGGCATGCGGCTACCAAACTAGTCTATTCTTAGAATACTGGAATTAATTCTGGAAATCAAATGTCTTGATAAAGTAATAAACATTGCGACGACTCGCGATGCTGGCACTGTCGCCCGTCTCCTGCATGATAGTCAGATAGTGCATACTACTAAGAAATCTGCTGATCGATTACGATTATAGAGACTGTATAGAGTAGTAGTGCTCACCCCTTTAATCAGTACCTACTACTTACCTGTAAGGCAACTCATAAAGCGGCTACCTATAAGAAAACATCAATTATAATATTAAAGATTAAACATGTCCAGTAAAAAGAGTGGGCACCAGTTTAAAAAAATAAGGCAAGAAAAGTTGGCCAAACAAGAAAAAATATTAAATAAAACAAAAACTTGATGGATTCTTATGAAAAGTATGTTCAAATTAGTAATTTATTACAAAACCATCTTTATTTAATTTTTATACCTAAATACAATTGTTATAGTTTTGTTTTATTTCATGGAACATTACCCCCCCCCCTTCTTGGGAGCACGCCAATGTATGGAGCGCTAGTGTTGTAATGCCTAGGGGCGGAAAAATGGTAAGTCCGCCCCTGATTATTGTATAAGATTTCTTAAGATTTTAAAATTGTATAAATTAATTAACTGATAATATTATATTAAATTTGTATTTAAATAACTTAATTCTGTACACCATTTAGAATAAGAACATGCCAGGTGGTGGACAAAAACACGTCGTTGTTCACGCATCCATTCTCTAAACAATCACGACTGCCTCCACAAATATTCCGTAGGTATTACCGAATAATTAACGAATCGGCAACCAGGTAGTTTGGCAGTGCCAAGCTTAATTGCTGTTATTATTCTGAATAGACCATAGAGTATAGAATATATTTCCGTTCTAATTAAATTTTTAGGAAGATCAAAACAGTTGATTAAGCAAAATAATATTTTGAATATACAAATATATTTACAACATATTATAGACTATCACTTTTTCTTGTAATACCAATTATTAGTCGTATGTTATTTACTATTAAATATTAATATCAACTTAATATTTTGATTTAAATATAAGATTATTGTTAGTTGTTACCTCCATCCTTGTGTTCACTTTGGTCTATAATAGACATCACTATTGAAAATATCAATACCTTATAAGAAATCATAGTTATTGTTCAGAGTAGTTACTACACAGCACAACCATTCATTTAACATTACCAGAGTAGAATATTACTAATTTCTGAATAAGTGCGATGTTAAGGTTTGGTGTTTATTTATCAACAACTTACTGTATACATTACAACCATGCAGATAAACCTACTATGAAGTTTATAAATTATAATAAATCAATTTAGGTTTTTAAAACCCAATTGAACAAATAAAGTACACTTACGTAACTATATGTAAGGCATTTGTTTCTACATTCAAATATATCAACAAACTCGCCTGGCCTTATTTTTTGGGCTCTTATATCATGTTATCATTGGCGTACTTATGGGAGGTGGGTCAATTTTTTTTCAGAAACCTATGTATTACAACAAGTTAATAAGAACGATGTTGCAAAAACTAATTGCCGAAAATCATTAGTTTTTAAGTTATAGCCTTACAAAGTTCATGATTTTCGGTGTTTTACGCATACGTACAACTCAATATTTTACTTAATGTTTTACTGAACAAACTTTTTAATTTTTTTTTGTTTTAAAGTACCTATGTAGTTAAGCATGCTAAAAAAATAGGGAAGTCTGAATTTGTTGGCCAGACTTTTTTTTAAAAGTTATAGGTAATTGATATTTTTGAAATTTGTATATACACACGGCGTACCTAAGTTGCGTATACCTACAGACTAAAAATCTAACAAAATATAATATTATAATTGACTAACCAAATATTACAGTTTGGAAAATTATGAATTTTTTTTCAAGCCATCTATATTATGTTATTATATTTATTATTTTAATGAACGTCGCGACAGACGGCGATAAAAACGCCATAACAATATTGGCCTCCGGCCAGTGAGGACCGTGCGAACCGTTATCTGGAAATTCCCGAGGGTCCTCGGCCACCGTCGAGGCACTTTCCAAACGACCATTAAGCTTCGTACCATACGAGGTAGTTCGGCCTGAGCCAACGTGTAAAGTTACTGTGTTAAATTTTTTTTTTTTTTTTGATTTCTTAATCAAGTCTTTTCATGTATAACTACTCTTTTCACATATACTTATTATGCTACATTGTATAGATTGTATATTATCTCTTAAAAATAAAAAAAAAAAAAAAAAAAAAAAAAAAATTTTTACACAAGTGAATATAACATGTGAGTGTTAATATACGTATGATAAAAGTGCAGGAGATCGCGGTACAGATTTTTTTCACCCTGGGAAATATGAATACATAAGCGTTCCAGTGAAACCTTTATTTATTTTTGAAAACAAATAACACTTTATTCAGTACCTGCCTACCTGCATAAGTACCCAAAATCTTAGAATATTGCACAATTATTTCTATTTGGCCTTGAATTATAAATTATAAAGTAACAAAATATGATGCAGTATTTAACTAGGTAAAAAAAAAGCTGGACCTATAAGTCATTCATTTAAAATAACTAATATAATTTCATAGTTAAAAACAGCAATCCGCAATGAAATGTGTCTACCACAGTAATGACCAACCATTTATATCCAAGTACCACCTAAACGGGTTGAAAATGTTGATGTAGGTACAGGGCCGGATTGGTTAAGCGATCTATAGAGAAAACCTCGGTGGGCCGCTTGAAGTTTGAGCCGGTCGTGTGAGTGTGGGTGAAAATAAATTCATGTTTAAAATATGATTGGCCACGTATAAGCTCGTAATAATTATAGACTTCATTTTGGGCCACTGAATATGTAAATGGGCCGCTTTTAGAAGTGAAAATCGATGGTGAATCGGCGATAGGCCGATACATACCAATCCGGCCCTGTGTAGGTACCTCTTGAGTACTTGCCCAAATAACATTATTTTTTGTGTATCAAAAATGTATACGGTGTTTTACATGTATGGCTGTATGTGCTTTTATTTTATTATTAACTACGAAATTATGACAATTTATTTAGTTAAACATGTTTTGTTTCTTAATGCTTTAAACCGATGTCAAAGATAATATTTTCTAAAAGAGTCAACAGTTTTTGAAACTATCAGTGCGTCTTATGTTAAATGTATCACCCGGTAAATGCTTATGTCGCGTTGATGGGGGCTGTAAAAATTGTTATGTATACAAAATATAATATAGAAAAGCTGTCAAGCCGAAAACTGCTTGAGCAGCAGGTCGTACATAGAGCAGCTGCTGAGTACACGCAGAAACGGCAGACTTAAAGTTTTAATGACTGTTTAATTCGGGTGGTGCGAACTGCCGAAACAGCAGAGTTGCGAAAACTAGCTTGCAAAGACTGAATGGTATATCTGCAGGTCCGTATAGCGTTCGTTTTGCTCGATATTATAATGCTAAAATATACAATAATACATAATGTTATTATGTGTATACAATAATATATGTATATATTATATATATATATAGGTAGGTACAACACTACACTACGGTTTGTACAATCGTGGCGCGCGAACGCGTTAAAACATTGTAAAACAAACTGCGAAACGAATTAAATCCACCACCGCCTCGCCGGGACGAACACACTATTATACACCGTCCTTTGGATGTTGTTGTTATGCTATTATTATTATTATGATCATTATTATTACTATACGTCTTGCAGTTTGCCTCTTCTACTGCTCCTCTGCCTTTTTTTCTTCCGCTTCTTTGGCCGGTCCAGGTATTCTAATATTATACAAGGTGAAATCTTTTTCGTTGACACGCAAAGTTTTCGTTCGACATTGAGTTTGTGTTTTCTAAAACATAATAATATAGTAAATAATATACAAATAATTGGTTTTTTTTATATCGGCGTTATGTAAATATCAATAAGCTATAAGTAAATGTATTTAAGGACTTAATGAATTTAAGTAAATGTGAAAAATGAATAAAAATAAAAATTATTATTATTACTATTTAATTACTATTATATTAATCATATTCAATAATCGAAATTACAGGCCTGTGATAATTGAAATATGATATGTATGTTTGTGATGTAATTTATTCCAAATATCTTGAAAATACTGCATCAATGGTGGTGTCATCTCTCGTTGTAGATTCTGCTGGATTACTTATCAAATGTAAATTGAATGAGTCAGTAAGGAAAGTTATAAATGTCTCTGATTTTGTATCATTAAAATTGTTCCGCCAAATTGTTATAATTATATATGCATAATATGCAGACCTAATTAGGCCGTTTTTAAATTCTCGCATTATACCGTTTTCTATTGCCTAGTCTATACCAAATGCAACACACAAAAAAATGTAATTACGGCAAAGATTAAAATGCACTATGCAGGGATATAATGTAACGAAATGCACAAGAACCATTGCATACATCATTTCAATCTCAATTAATTATTGATATCGTTTAAACAGCTATAATTATTTTCTAAATGATCTAAGTATTATCATAGAACAATATAGAAGCGACACTCGATCAGCTGATGGGTGAAGTGTTTACCTATGATCTGAAGTCCGAACATTCAAACTGTATTATTTAGATAGTTTCTTTAAATTGTTTGTTTATCATAATTTATATTATGAATATTATAAATCATCTAGATTCTAGATAAACATTACTTTGAAGAATGAATAGGACGATATAGGCTGTCTGGCTGTGTAGCGATTTGTGAGTATAGGCTACCTACCTAATAAAAATGAATGTCTATAAAATATATAGGTACTGTAAAGAATGGTTTTATATGTACATATATATTGAAGTTATATTGGTTTAATAAGAGTTATATTTAGGTATAATGCAGAATACATCATTAATAGTATTAATAATTGTATAATATACTACATATCATATGTACGCGTATATACACAAACACATATATATATTATATATATTAACCGGAATGATGCAAATCGATCGATCGGTAGACCGGAAATATAATATATTATTATTATTTATGATACGTATCATGGTACGTTAAAACGATAATTCGTTTTGATATATTAACAATGAAAAACTGTAGCAATACTTTTCTTATTTTTTTAAAATTTGTTTTATCCTGCCGCACATTGAACTCCCCCCTACATCGTATCTCCCACGTGGTAGTGGCGTCTGTGAAGACGTTCTACGTGAATCCGCCGAGCGTTTCTTAATGATTTATAAGGGGCCTGGTGACGCCTATTATAATTTATATTATGCACACTGCAAAGGCCGCATAGTGGCATAGCGGCATTGTAGTCAGCGTGCTTACAAAAAAAGATAACCCTCGGACGATGAGTGGATAGTATAATATTATACAATACAGTGAGGCGAGTGTTTGATAATACTTAATGGGCGGTAGTGCGACGATGAGATAGTTTTCCGACTCCAAAATCAAATCAAATAGGTAGCTGAAAATGTAAATGTATTTAACATTTTGACGTTGTGGTATCTACCTGTCAATGTTTTTTTTTTTTCTTTCATATTCACATTGTATAATAATGACAATAATTATTAGGGTTGTTTATAGAAAAATTCACTTACAATAAAAGCAAAATACAGAAAAAACCATATAAGACGCACTATGGGTATATAAGTACAGGTAGGTAGTAGGTACTAAAGAATCATAATATTTACAAAATATAAAAATCCATCAACCTATTAATTGATTTATGTGACACAAATTAAACAATAACTCATGAAATGGCATGAATACAAAACGTTCCAACAATAATATAAAAATAATGTCGTGTGATAAAATAGGTAGGTATAATGTCCTAATGATAGGTCTATTTCGATTTATAATCACAGATATATAAAAATACTAGATAGATAACTTGGAAATGTTTTTGAAGCCAACAAAATAGCCGAAATTCTCTTATCTAAGAGGTGAATGTTTACATTTTCATAATACTGATAAAGATATTATTGTTATTTAATTTGTCATAATATGATTAATATTATAAATTATAAGTTTAAACTTTAAAGTTGTATAGTTAGTTCATGATGTTAATAACTTAACTTACTTACATACGTCTTAAATACATATTATCAACTTTTAGCTTATT